ACTTAAGTTTATACATACAGTGACGGTTTATTTGTTTTCTCTATCGATGAACAACGTTGGTTTTGAATATTGACAGTCAATAACAAACTGTCAATTTTATAAAATAGGTAAGGACTCGCAGCGAATCTCCCTGCGTTCATTGCAAAGCCGACAAAAATCAATCAAATTTTATTAGTTTTACTTTTCTTTTTATGGTGGTTTAGAGTCAACATTGTCGTTAAAATTTAGATTCCGTCAACACACACGAAGTTTAACATGTTTAAGAGTTTAAATGGACAGTTTTTCTGCTATTGGATTTTAGATCAAGGCTCACAGCTCTGTCCCAACGCACTTTGAAAAATTGTGTCCGAGTGCGTTAACTCTGGGAGCAAGTTAATTTTGTATAAAAAAAAAAATTCAAAGTGCGTTCCCACACCGTTCCATGCATTAATTGCTTCTAACGTGTACATACCGTTCTTTTTTCATGTAACAAATTCCTTTTGTTTTTGAGCAACAAAAGTTGAAAAACTGCTCGATAATGCCAACATTTTGGAAGCTTTCAATGGAGAGAAAAAAAAACAACTGTCCGAATTTTTAAAATAGGCAAGTATAACTTCAAAAGACACCGAATCCAGCCGGAGGGAGGGGGGATATTAATAACGTCAAAATACATGTATATGACACTGACGAGAATTTAAGGTCATATATCAAGCTTCTGACGTGCAATATTTGCGTATAAATTACAATATTCAAAACTGGCATTTTCTCCATGCAATTATTTACTTAAAGTTAAGGTATGTATAAAACGAATAGCGCGTTTATATACATCGGTCAATATTTATAGACACGTGCGTCGTTTCTTCTGCATGGATACCAGTGCCGAGTTGAAAGGATTTGAATGCCTTTTCAAGAAGATAGTGTTGCCCTTGATAATTTTTAAATCTACAGTGTAATGAGCAAGTTGTCGTTTAAATCAGTTAAAGATTCTCAAATTTTATTTAAGGTAGAGGTACAGTGTAACAAATGAATACTGTGTTTGCGTTAGGTATATATTTTCCCCATTCAGGAGAGCAGCAATCATTTCTGATCATTAATACTTTGTTGTTTTGGAACTTTATTTCTCGTAGCAGGTACCCTTTGTTGAAAACGAACTAAATAAATTCAATATTTTTTAACCTAAACTTAAAAGGACATTTTTTTCAAAGTCCAGAATGTTTTTAAAAGGTAGATTTTAATTTGAATGTATGTTGAATTTTAATATTATTTGTTTTATTCTGGAAAATAAAAAATCTCCAAAACCTGATATCAGCATTGATATTAGAATTGTAACATCATTTTTATATCAACACGTACTGGCCATCATTGTGAATTATTGAAATCTGACAACATGACTATACCAGGGAAAGATAAATGAATGTGATAACACCAAAAACTGTCATAACAGACAGTGCACATGATGAGTGATTTATGAATCATGTCATTATTGTGGTCGACATTTGATGAGGGGGGGGGGGGGGGGGTAAGTGCAGACTGGTCAATTCCACGAAGCTCCACAACATCACAAAAAAAGGAAATACATAGTCATTTTACAACTGTATCAAAATTTCATATGTTGAGTATATTGGTTAAAAACTGGACTATATAAACAATAAAGCGTGATTTCAATATTATATAACATATACAAGATACAATACAGGATTGCATCTGATTTTTTAAATGGGAGACGGTCCCCTACAGTGACACCCTTCACCTTGTCGGTGTGTTTCTCCGTGCCTACCCCAGTCTTATATCCGGTATAAGCGTTTTTTTTAAATTGGGAGACGGTCCCTTACACTGACATGTTTCACTTGTCGGTGTGTCTCTCTGTGCCTATCCCAGTCTCATATCCGGTATATGCGTTTTTGTTTTTTTTTTATTGGGAGACGGTCCCTTACAGTGACACCCTTCACCTTGTCGGTGTGTTTCTCCGTGCCTACCCCAGTCTTATATCCGGTATAATCGTTAAATACACGATCTTCCTGAGCGTCTTGTCAGCTGGTTAGATAGGGGTGATAAGGATTCCGGGATTATCAAATGAATGTACCCTCTATAAGAACACTGTAGGAGGGGAAGTGGTCTATCAGTTTATCGATCTTAGAGGGGACTTCTTATCTGTCAGGCCTAGCAGTGTCACATACATCGCTTATTGTAAAATAAATAAAAAATATATCTTAAATTTGACATCGTTAATAATTTGAGATCGTTTCATGCTGGGTATGCATAATCAATCAAAATTAATTGCTTATTGACATATAAACCAAAAAATCTCGGATATATTTGAGTAACGTTGTAAAATTATTTAACGAAAGTTTTTTCTGCCATAACACAATGTAATTCAGCGATGAAAGGATCAACTGTATCCCCATTTTCCTTTTCCTTCCAGTACTCAGTATATCGATTATACCTTCGACAAAAATAATTTATAACGATCTATCCTCCCTTCTATATCTACCCTAGCCGCTTGGTAAGAATTCAGGTTGATAATGAAAAAAATCTAACGATGCGGAGAAGAGAGGGGGAATAAAATCGATTGATACATCGTGTTATGGATTCTTTGAAGAAAGACCAAATCAATGAAATCCACACGATATCAGACTTTTGAAGGACATCATTTGATCCCACTTAAATTAAACCATCACATACTATTCTATTGGGGATAAATACGGAAATATATATCCAAAGTTCTATTGTGATAAAAAAAAAAGATCTGCAATTAATTGTCACTGTCTGCATGCATTATGATATTTGAAGATTATCATTAAATCCATTATAATGAGACTACCTATATCATATTCCTCTGTGGTATATCTCTGTATCTTGCGTCAACTTCGATGAAAAGCTTATACGAGTTCCTCAGGTAGATTCTCATTTCGCGCATCAATGAAAATCTCTATTTATTATCGATTGCAATAGAATGTACCTTACCAAAATAACCCACAAACAAATTAAAAGTCTACGGTTAATAACTTATTCATGAAGTTTCTTATTAGTCCTAATGTACCAGGTATAATTTATTCATTGTTCCACCTGCCCGTAAAATGTACCCATGGTAAGATGGAGGGGAACGAATGTCGACATATCAACACTGTTGTCTGTTCCTGTCGGTATGCAGTAGTATTTAGGACGCATACAATTCATACATTGAGTTGTACGGAATGTGCATCGACAATAAACCCTTGTCTGTACTTATCGAATTTAAATTACAATCCTTCCAAACACATTGAGTAATCTTTGCAGGGGATTCGTTTAAAAGACCTAGTTATCGAATGCACTACCTGATTAAATAAAAAGAACGAGGAAAACACAATTTTATAGATATCTCAATCGGCATTATTTAGTACATTATGTACGAGTATACAACTCACGTAGAAAATTTCGTGACATCAGCCACATCAGTTTCCCTCCTAATGACCACAGAAAACACCTGTCTTGTCATTAGCAGGTGATCACAGGTAAGAGCTGGAGGAAGGTAGAAATGAATACAGATATTAGCTGGAATACATTCGTGTTAATTAGGTTTCAACGCAGTCAAATATCACCTGATGACATATGGTTGTAAGTTATATGTGTTTGTTACTCGTTATACGAGTTCATCGGAAAAAAGTCAAGTTGTCAAATGATTTAATAACTCAGAATAAACTCATAAAAAGTGATTTTCAGCATCTTTTTTTTTTAATTTACAAATAATCTTTTCAAGAGGTACAAAACATTTTGAAGCCGAAACTCATCCATACAAATATATAAACACAAGCATTCATATTAAAAATACATTCAATATAATTATACTTAAATAATTTATATTAAACTCTTGCCAATTTGGACGGATGGCACTGATAAAGGGCCCGGAAAAGTAAAAAAGGTGGTTCACTTTTTCCAGTCAAACACTCCACTGTCACAATCATAAGACTTTCATCAAACTCTCAATCACACGGGATAAAACGAGTAACAAAATATGCATACAGAGTTATGAGCTAACAGTTTGAGCAATAGCTAAATGCAGGTGCAAAAACAGGTAAGTACTGTTTGTAAAGAAAACACAATAAAGTTCTATAAGTGTTAAATAAACGATCACGTTTAGCAGACAACAGTTCATTAATATTTCCACAGTTTTGCATATAAGGTATTTCACAACAAGGCCAATAAAACATTATTTAAATGTCACCATAAATGAATGACTTTAAAAATTCTCTGGAAAAAAAGTGAATACTGTTCAAAGAGGATGTCTATTATTTTCCTTTTACAATACTGAAGAATCGGTGGTCATTGTAAGAATATTAAATTAATACTTTGAATTTACAGAGTTTAAACATTTCACAATATATTATGACGTTCCTGAGTTTTATACACTGACGGAGGGGTTATCTGGAATTCCAGTGCGCGTGTAGAAAGTGTCCGCTACAATGCGGGTACGACCGTAGGGAGGCTTTTTAATTTCCTCTTTCTTTATCACATCTCCGAGTCTCCATCCGTATTCCCAAGAACTCAGTAAAGGGAAAGCGAATTTCTCCTCCGGGCCCTTCCTATTTCTCTCACACAGATACTGATATCTACCCTTGCCCTCCTTCGTAAAACCATCGTATAACTTTTCCCGGGTGCCAGCGGAGGGGGGTCGCATCTCTGCAACCAGCTGCTGCAGCTTTCCTTCTGCTTTGGACATATCAGGGAAAGCATTAAAGTCCGATTTCACTTTGTTGAATTTCGGAGGGGTATAATCCTCTGGAAGCTTTTTGAAAATGTCCTCTGCGGGTTTTGGAGCATTTTGAATTTTCCTTCTCGCAACTTCGGACTGTTTGGAAGTGGCAAGTTGTCCATTGGAATCTTTTAGTTTGTAAAACCACTGCAAACGCGTGTCTCGTTCTTTATTGTATGATTCCTCTAAAAATTTCTGAATCTGCGTGTTTGCCGGATAATTCCGAGCCATTCTCAGCAGTCAGTCAATTATCTTTGAGTGAAAATTATCGAGTAGTATCAATAAATACCTGCCTTACGATAGTCCGCTATTACCTTGACGGGACACCGCACGAGCTTATTGACATTTCCCATAGCAACTCGTGTCGTCACGATCTCACGAGATTTTACGAGACGAAACCATTTCCGATCAAAACAAAAATGGCGCCCAACTGTCCAGAAGAAGTCGACGTTTTTACAGTGCCCCATTCTCGAATGAAGGAGCTTGTACACAAGTATTTGGCCATGGTAAATTGGAATTCCTTCAAATATCAATATACTTTTCATTTCCTACTTACAATTTATGCTGTTGATGCAACTATGACTATTTTTAGAATGAAAATTTAACAGCTCATAATTTATAGCCTAACTTTAAATGGCTTAAATGAAAAAAATATCTACTGACACAATAAATATATCAATTGACACTCAAAGATTTGTTGCTGATATATTGTGCTTTATGTTGTCAAATGCTTTAACTTATTTTAAAGCTTTAGTTGATTTGTTTTGTTACTGTTAGTCCGGCTCGTGACTAAGAAGTAAATTTTCCGGGTTTATTTTAAAGTTGTGTAAGTAAATCTACTGGAAATTGCATTTAAATATATCAGAAATCAGAGGAACTTTGCAAAGTTGCAGGAAAGACAATTTCGTTTTAATGTTTCTCAATTTTTTGATCGAATGTATGCCAAAAGGACATTACCATGTTCATCTTCTTTGGAAAAATTGATTCATGACATGGACAGTTGTTAATTTTATTCTATTCAGTATTGTTAATAGGGGGAGGGGAGAATCAGAAAAGAAGGCGTCATGGGTTTCCAGCTTTACTAGAGGGATACGCTTGTAGTTTACGATCATTGAGAATATGATGCTTTAAAATATTATGTTGTATGTTTACAGATGACGGACACAAATTTCGCAGATGTCCATCACATGACAAACCTCCTAGAAAATCTCGTCAATGCCTTTCATGAGTTCAGAGCCCACGAACAAATTGAAAATAAATACATTATGAAAAAACTCAAAGCAAAACTAAATGCGCTTTCGATTCGGAGCTCAGCTGTGTGTAACTGTCACTCGGACAATAAACTGACGGAGATGTTGATGCTGCTACAGGACGGGTACCACTGTCGTGAGAAGGGGGAGGTGGACCGACAGAACTATGGGAAAAAGCTACGCTCAGCGCTGGAGGATTTCACTCAGAAGTTCATCCCACACATGGAGGAAGAAGAAGAGGTTTGTGTCAATTTTATCATATCTTTTTTTAATCAAATTTCGAAGCAAATACTGTATACAGGGAAATTTTCGCCCCAGTTTTATTTTCGCCCCTTTTGCCCTTCTCACAAGTGGGCGAATTTAAAATGGGGCGAATTAAAAAAACACAGTATAATTTCTTGAACAGAACTGTGACTGGGCGAATTTAAAACGGGGTAAAATTGTTAGCAAGTGTAAAAGGGCGAAAATAACCCTGTATACAGTACTGTGTAACACTACAGTAAAAGGTTATTTGTGTTTTAAATCATAACTTATTTATTGTTGAATTTTCATACTCTTGTGCACAAGAGTAAACTGATTTTTTTTGTCGAAAAATCCTGATGAGATTTACCATAAAAAATAGTTTAAATTCAAAATATCTTGTACATTTCATATTAATAAATGTGAGTGATAGGTCTATTCAGATATTATGGTTGTACTTGTGTATTTTAAGTTACTATAATCAAATGTTCCTTTTGCAGATTTTTCAACCAATGCTGATGAAGTATTTTTCGTTTGAAGAGTTAAGGTCCCTGAAATCTAAAGTGATTAGAAAACATCAACAAACCATAGAGGATGAATATGTCGAAAATGAAGAATGTGTTTGTAAGAACAATTTTCATCAACATGATCAAAATGGTTCAAAAAATATTCTTATTATGTAATCTTGATCTAAGGAATGATTGGTTATTACAAACAGAACAAAAATGGGCTTTGATTTAAAAAGGCAAAAAAAAAAAAATAATAAATTGAGCCAATCATTGAAAAATTAAGAAGAATATTTGATTGATGTATTCTGATTTCAATAACCCTGTAAGAATTGTGAAAATGCTCTATATTATATTTTAATAAAGTTTAAGATTATTTATAACACAATCAATGCCTTAATTCCAGCCTCGTCTTCTGATGAAGAGGAAAAATGTATGAGATCAGAATCCCGTCGTGAGCCCAGTGGGATTGAGTGTTTACCTGATGAAGTCCTGATGGCCGTCTTCTCCTACCTGAATCCCAGGGAGTTATGTGTCTCAGCCCAGGTGTCAAAAAGATGGAACAGCCTGGCTATGGATGGGTCTAACTGGAGAGTCCTTAGGCCTGTCCAGTGGTTCAAGGGTAAGGTAGCAGGAGGAAATAGTAATCCAATAGAAACAAGAGTATACATGTGTATATATCTCCAACTAACTTTCCAATTAAATATTAAGGTTATTTTGATTTTTTTTAATGGAGAGCTAGTTCACAGTACCACTAGTTGACATGGTCAGAGATAATATCAATATATTTCTTGTAGGACTTTGGTCTCGCCAGGAGAAGATGGACATTGAGTTGGAAGAGAGGGACGTGGAGACGGCCGAGTTCTATCCAGTCGATGTCAAATACGATGAGGATGCTGATGTAGATGAGTCAGAGGAAAGTGATGATTTGGATGAGATGTCTCCTGAATGGATGCTGGTAAATAACAAAATAATAAGCCAGCATTGTCAGTCTGTCAGAACCACTGGGTGTACATATCAGCAATAGAAGGGCAATAAACATTAATTATATGATAAGAAATCTTGCTTTGTGAATGGTAATGTAACTTTTCTACACTTTTGTGTCTAGTTCACTACATCTTGCATTAAGATATCTTTTTATGTGATTTATTGGTTTCTTGCTTATTCACAGCGCCCTGTTTAATTGTATAGTTACTGAATTGTATATACATAAATGAGATAGTAATAAAAGAGGACTTTGAATCAGGTACAGAAGGAGTCCAGGATGCTGACTTGTATGGTGAAGCACCTTTTCCCCAGGGTGGGGGCCAGTGTGGTGGAGTTACACCTGGGCTACAGTAGGGGATTAACTAATGGAGTGGTATGTCTTAGAAATCTACTTAAAGGGACATGGACACAGTTTCAGCTAAAATTTTTCAAAATTCATTTTTCAATTTTTTTTTATGTTTACAAATACTTAACTGAGGTATTTTTAATAATAATCAAAACACAAGACAGATTTAGAGGTCCAAATCTTTGTTATGGAAACAAGGCTCGTGCCATAAATTTGTTTACATTGGTTAAAAATTTAATACTGTAAAACAAGAAAATTTGGTGCATACAGTACGTATTTTAGCGCAAACGCAAGAGGGAATGCCTTGGCGCAAATAGATTTTAGCGCTTTCACTCGTCGTTGAAAGTTATAAATGTATTGTTTTTATTTATCCACTCCCGTATTTGACTTTTTGGTTAATCAAGCATGGAAACACAATAGCACTCCCGTATATAAGTAAACATTTGTCAACTTTACCGTGGTGTTTCAATCACATGAACGTGGTACAATGTTAATATTTATTTAAAATTTATTTTATTTTTATTTTAAATAAAAGAAATGGAATATTTACACATTTTATCCATATTAAAACAATGCATGCATCGACAGGTAATAACTTGGATAGACGGTAATCATAATCAGGTATTATCTGCAAGCTCAATCGCCATGTTTGATTGCATTGTTTACCTCGAGGCAATAGATGGTTGACACGCCGAGAAGCCAAACTTTGAAGGTGCTAATGACAAGAATCGGGTAACAGTTACGGGGGTAATAATAGTTTAATTAAATTATAATTTGGCAGAGCTTTCTCGATCGATCCTACCATGTGCAGTGCTAGTGTGTATAAAAAATCCAACGACCCTTCGACATTACGTAATCGCGCGTTCCTGTTTACATGTTCTTAATATGTAAAAGCTTTGAACACACACAAATAATAATTTTTAGAAATCCGTTAGCGCACAGTAAATTTTAGCGTACATGGGCTCTTGCGCCAAAGGCGCTAAAATAAGTAGTGTGCCAAATATTCTCGTTTTACAGTATATGTTTGTTCAAAACAGATTTTTTTTAAAAAAGAAGTTAATTCTAGATACGATTAGACAGTTTGTAGTCATTTGCTGAATCCTATTCTGTTATAATTATGATATTATTTATATGTAAACAAAAACAAAGCACAAGCCTTGTTTACATTATGAACGAATTTTAAGTTCTGTATCTACTTTGTAAATCAACAAATAATGTTCAAATTTTTGCTGATCATTTGAATTGCTTTAATTAGGAATTGTAAACATTAAAATTGGTTTTTAAAACATCAGTTGAAACTTTTTTCATGTCCCTTTTAATATAAAGCTAGTCAGGGTCTAACTAACGTGCTGTAAGTTTTACAGTTTACAAGTAATTTCAGAAAGTTGGAATTTCACAGAAGATTTAACTACATATTTCTATGACTTCTTTTTTGAATAAAAGTGATCTTCTGACACTGTGTGAAAGGGTGCCTTTGACTACTGGTACATGTATATTGATTCAATATCAAATACATAGGAGTTATGTCCCTTTGAATGCTCTGAATTTTATTGTGGAACCATAAGAACTTATTGATTATTAACAGCTATACAGAATGCTGAGCTGCTGTAACAATCTGGAAGTTTTAGACCTTACACAGACCAGAGTGTCAGACATTGGTTTTAAGAGGTCAGTATACAGATTAATTAGTCACCTTTATTACTTCACCTGATCTCATCTTTGAGCTTTTCTAAGTAAAGTCCGTCTGTCATTGGTCCGGTGTATTTTTTGTATTCACTGAGTGAATTTCAACCAAAATGGCTTCAAAAAAGTTTTGTTCAAGTGAAGGACAGACCCTATTTTCAAGAGGTAATATTAAAAATAAGTTTGAATTCACTTTAAATTTCTCCTCTGAAAAACCACTGAACTAAAAAGACACAAGACACATATGGGTGTCTTGATGAACAATGAAATATATAAATGTCTTGATGAACAATATATGAAAGTGTAATAAATGTATAATTGTCTTCATGAAAACTCACTATATAAATTTCTTCTTGAAAACCGTTAGTGACACATATGAAAGTCTTCAGAAACATTGAAATATATAAATTTCTTCTTGAAAACTGAAATATATGAATTTCTTCGTGAACCTCTAAGCCAAAATTTATAATTTTAACTTCTTCCATGAGTCAAAGTAATGAAAATCATTTGAACTTAAGAAGATAATGGTTACAATACAGGTGTGGTTTATCTACGTATTGGTAAGACTAGGTGACTCCGGTGAGTGTTGTGGCCCATGGTCCTATTATTGTTATTGTTTGGAGGTTATTTAACAGAGGGAACAGATGTTGTATTTACAAAATGTGAATTAATAAAACACTTTATCGTTTCCAGTTTGGGCAAGAACAGGAATGGCAGAAAACTGAAGCATATAAATCTCTCAGGCTGTGTAAACATTACTGATGTGACGATACAGAAAATATCCTCAGCACTGGGATGTATCAAAGACACCAGATCGGAAAAAGTTAGTGATAATTCGAATACCTGTACTGTCAGAGGAAGGACCTGCTGTCATGAAAGAGAGGCTCACGGAAGACAACAGGAGGAGTCGGGAAATGGACTCGATTTTGATTCAGTGGATGTAGCATTGCGTAATGCTTGTGATTTTGTGGAAAGTGAGGCTATGGCTAGACATTTGATTGATTTTCTGGAGGGAGAGACTATGTTTTCTTCCTTCATGCACCAATCCTTTCTGCCACCCTTACTAAGGGATCAACAACAAAGGACATTGGAATTGAATAATTTCCTAAAAGACAGTTCGGGCTTGGGCACCAAGAAAGAAACTTATCTTGCAAGGAATGATTGGAATTCCTCGTCATATCCTACAAATATTTTCTCAGACAATTCCTCCTGGAGGATGAACCCCTCTGTAGAGAGGGATCTAGGGAGTTCCCCTCGAAGGACTAATTCCTCCCCCGAGAGGATTCGCGGGAATTCCCCGTACAGGACTAGCACCTCCGTGGGGGGTAATGGTGGGGCTTGTTATGTCTGTGATAATAGTGACAGTGACACTCCCCAGAGGGCGCTGCAGTTCCTCTCTCTGTCCGGCTGCTCTTTGGTGACAGATGAAGGAATCAGGTATTGGAAGAACTGAAACTTGAAATTATCTTTATAGGGTTATGCTGAATATGTTCTTTCGATTCTGATTTCTCTCATATTGTACAAATATACTGCAATAAAAGCAAAGTTACACAAACATGCAGTTATTAAATATCATAAACTATATTTATTAACAAAGTCACATCATACTTGCCAACCTCCAGCATGTAAAAATCTGGTCATGCTGGAAAGTAAAAAATGGTCATCTAACGACATTCACGACATATTTACCATGATTAAATTTTTCATATATACCAAGTATTTGTGTATTGAGAATTAATTTATTGAAAAAGGATTTAATTTTCTTGACAAAAAATTCATACATAGAGAATCTAATTTGCTTTAATTTACATGTTAAAAATGAAAATTGAAGGTTTCTGCTGAAGTAAATGTGCATTTTTTTTAAAAAAGCCTTTCAGTTTCTGCTAAATTTGAAAGTATACCCATTTCAGTTTTGAAGTTGTTTTTCCTTTCTCTTAATTAATTAACTACTGCAACATGTCTTAAATTTGAAGTTAGGCCTACACTGTCTTTGATCACTTTATTTTATCTAGAATGAAAGTTTTTTCCCAAGATTCCTTGATATGTACATAAATATCGTTTCTCTTGTTCTTGGTTCATATGTGTTTGGTTCAATTTGTTCCTGTTGGCCCTGATAACGATATTTATTAATTGACTTCTAACATTGATTTGTAAAAACAACACCCAGTTAATTGTTTACACCTGCACTGATAATTAATCCAACGGCATTGTTTACGTAGAAAGCTGGAATAAAGTTATTTACGAACCAAATCCGGAAATCGGGGAGATTTTCGGGTTGTTCGGCAAAAATCGGGTGATCTTCATAAAAAATAATCGGGTTACGGGTTGAAAAATCTGGTGTGACCCGACGAAATCGGGTGAGTTGGCAACTATGGTCACAATATGGGAATTTTAGGAAAAATAAAGTTATTTTTGGGACAGGGGTCTTTTATGAACCTGTATGCAAACGATGCCTGAGTTTTGTGTAGGGAAGTTTCAAGATATTTTAATTAGTTTACATTGCTAGTAAATATTGGTTGGGGTTATTCAACTGAATCAAAATTTTTTTTTACTGTGACCTTTCTGACTTTTTTTCTTCACTTAGACTCTATAATTTTTGTTAAAGTAAGTTACAGAAAAAAAAACCTTTCAGTTACTTTATTTTTATCAAACCTTGCTGATAGTAATACATATAATTTGTGAGAGAGCTATTCAATTTTTTTTTGCCTTTTCGTTGATTGACCTTAATGTTCTTAAATTTCAAAGAAATATTTATCTAAAAATATACATGTATTTTATCAAATTTTATAATCTTATATAATTTATGAAAGCTATTGAATTAAATCAAAATTTTTTTTTACCTTGACATTACTTTGACTTCACTTTTTCTCAATTATTGGTGAGAATTCATCAACTGTGTTCACCTCGACTTTCCCAATGACTTTACTATTCATTCTATGTAAGAATTTTTTAAAGACACTATTTGGACAATATGTTTTTATCAAACTTCATACACCAGTTAACAATTGATTTTAAAATTCAAAAAAATTATGAAGATTTTACAGTTGGCAGGGACACTGAGGGCTACTTACTGGAGAAACAGCTATTTTGATTTATTACATGTATCAGAATTTTTTTCAAAACAAAATGTATATCCTTTTATTGAGTTTTGAATTTTTGATAAGACATACATGTACATCCAGGTATGATAATGGGAATTATTGATCTGTTTTTGTGACCAATATTGTGTTTAATCACTAACTTCACTCTTCCGTCCACAAATTTTCTGTTTTTTTCTAATAACTTTTTTTATGGTTTAACAATTTGGATTTCACTAGGCAGAAATACATATTTTGATGCTAAAAAAATTACATAAGAATGAAGATTGCCCAATTACAAATATGGTATGGTAGTTCAGTAGGCAGAAATGCATATTTTGGAGCTAAGTTTGTTTCTCTATGTCCCCTGGTTTAGAGCTGGGGTGGTGGGGTAGATTCCTTAACTTTATATAAGAATGCATTCAATTTGGCAAAGAGAGATAACTGCTGAAGATGTTCCCATTGTAAACTGAATGCTGCTATGAGTCCCTTGGGATTAATTAGCTTTCCTCCTGAAGAAAATCCAGAGCATTATCTTTATCTGTCACATTGAGATGAATACCTCTGTCTGCATGAAGTTTTTTGAAATTAAGTCAATTTGGAATGCTATGAACACTCTGAAATGTGGATTTAAATATAAATTTTCATAATTTATTTTTGTTTAATAGTTATGATTTCATTGAATTCTAAACACAAAAAATAGATTAAAGAAGATTTTTTGATTTATTTTTTTTCACTTTATGTTAATTCAAGAATATTATTAATTTTTAAGGTAGTTGTATAAAAACACCATTCTATCATTAATACTGAAAAAGTTCTTATTGTAACTTTAGAAGAAAATGATGAGAGAGGAATTAATCCCTTGGGATTAATTATCTAGCCTGCTGTGTCACTTTAAGATTAATGAAAACCTTTGTCTGCAACTGCTGTTTGTTCGAAGTTAAGGTCTAGCCTTCATGATATTGGCATTCATTGAAGGCTGGATTTAATATAACACAAGCTTCATAATTGTTTAAATATACATTCAATGTTAAGTCGTTCTTTACTGCCTAATGTAAATACAAAGAATTATTTTCAGGTTTTTGAATGTTCAGGAATTATCTTGAAATTTTAAGAATACATTTGCTGTTGCTTATTCTTCGTACATTTTTTAATCATTCCATAAGCTGCACCCTTTTATTCTACCCCATGGCGGGGCCCTTGCTGACTGGTCAGTTTTCTAATTCTTTTTATTATAACACATTCATATTGTCAGGTATTACACAGTCATATAATTATTTGTTAAACGTCGTGTAGACATTCCTACCCAGTGATTTGTTAAACTTTCTGTACAAGAAGTCACAGCAGAGGATGTTCACCGATTACTGCTCTTTAATGAATATTAAATTAGGTCACTATAAACTACTTTAACACCCATACAAGACTAAAACAAATTGTAGCAAAATAAGATTCATATTCTGTGAATCATGAATGTATTCAGAATTTTATACTTATCATTGTTTTGATTTAGAGGTGAATTATATGTTATCAGTCTTGTATATTTTCTGTAGAGTTATATATTTTGGCCTGGATTATGAATGCTCACACAACCCACTGCATAATAATATAAACTCTGCTAATAGACATAAGAAAGTGGTATTTTTTATGAGCAATTTAAAACTGGTTATTTTTCCAAACTGCAGGAAATCAGATGAAATCAAAATCAGATTATATTTAATTACTCTGGGTTTTGTCCCCTTCAATGAAAGAATGCTTTAATTT